GGTTTCCAAACGAAATGATATTATAAAGAAAAGAAAAAAAAAAAAAAAAAAAAAAGAAAAAAAAGAAAGAAAGAAAGAAACAGCAACGGCGAAAGATACGACCATCGCTCTTTCGAACAGCTGGATAACGGACCACGGAAATATAACTTTCGAAATATCGGCGTAATCGGTCTCGTGTGTTTTTGTGCGCGTGTGAGAGATTTTCTGACCGATCGTGATGAAACAACACTCGCTCGTTCTCTAACATCGCCGATTCGCTTTTGGCGAATCGAATCCTCTCCGTGGCTTTCTCCGTGGCGAAGGTCGGGCATGAAGCCCGATTTCTCGCTACTTTTTCCGCGCGAAAATCAACGTTCCTCGACACACGCGCGCGACGTACGTACGCTTTTCATTGAGAATTCGATTCAACTCTTGGCTGACTACGTCTATCTAGCCGCGTTTTAGTCTCTGCTTTGCTGAACCCTCGTCGTTGCACGAATGAAACGTAATTAGCCGGCAATACAGCCAACAGTTCGACCGGTTGGACATACCGTGGAACGTGGGACGGCGGAGCTCCCTCTGAAAATCGCAGACAATTCTTCCAATTGCGACACCGCGGTTGCCGCAACACGTCGCAGAAAATCATCGATCGAGAAAACCGAGCCTATAGTCTTTTCGTCAATTTTCTTCGACTCGTTTGACCGAAAGAAGGTTTCCTCGTAGAAAGTTTACTCGACGATTCCAACCCCGACTTTGCACGAGATTTGATCGGTAGTTGTTCTCGGCTAGGGCTTTTTGAAAGCACGAGCGCGACCGGTTTTAGGAAAAGATTCGCCCGGAACGTTCGGCACGACCTCGTCGATCCGCCTCCGGCTGACATTGCGAAGTAGAAACCACGAGGAACAATTTGCGCGCGCGAGCGTACACACACAGATAGACAGAGGCGCACCGCGTTTCACGAGACGCGTAAGGCAATCGATGTCCCCGTAACCCAGACCTATCGGACGTAACTGCCAGTTTTCACTAGCAGATCTCTCGCAACCTCCTACGAACGTTCTTCTCTTCTCTTCTCTTCTCTTCTCTTCTCTCTCTCTCTCTTTCGTTATGTCGATTTCATTCGATACAATAACTTTATCCCTTGCGAAGCTTCGAAAAAATACGCAGACACACAATCGCGAAAATCTGTTCACATCAGCTGATCTGAACATCGTGATTAAAGCGCTGATATAACTAACAAGTCCTTAAGGAAACAAGTCCTTAAGTTTACTAGGTTCAGTATGGCTATTTATTTGGAATTTGATATTCTTTCGATTTATGAAAAAAAAAAAAATGCGGTTGAAAATCCGGTTGAAAAAGGACCTTGGAAATTTCGAAACACACAACTTACCACTTTTGTGTTAAACAATTTTTCACTAGACGCGTAATTTAAGAGTTACCTCGGGTGTGCAACGTTACGTGATTACTATATATATATATATATATATATAGTACGTTTTCGCGCAACCGGCAAGCTAACAAATAACAGTTGCAAATTTCCTTTCTCTCTTTCTCTCTCTCTCTTCCTCTCTGTGCAGAGAGATCGTTAAAAAGATCGTGTAAGAAACATTTTTCGACCAATCTCAGTGGGTGCAACCCGAGTTCTAGCTAGCGTGTGGCTCGGTTACGAAATCCGGATAATAAACGAGTACCGTTATAGCATTTAGCTGGTCGCATCCAGCCAGTCAAAAAAGTGGAGACGTGGAACGTCAAAGCGAAACCGCAGCATCTCAAGTGCACGTTACACTTGCTCAATTCCGCCGCCGCAAAACCAACGCCGCCGTTGCCCTCCCCTGCCAACCGTTCTTTACAAACTTGACAAACTTTTCTAAAGTAATCGTCCTACCTACCGCCAGTTGCCAAAGTTCCTAATCGCGTCCGTGCACCGTGCCACCCCGAATTTGCCCAATTTCACGGACCTCGAAATCGAAACGAACCATTCATGAAACGTCGAAATCATCGGTCTTGAATGTACCTGTAGAACAAGCGACGTGTTCTAGTTCCTCTTGATTTTAATCATTCGCGCTGTCGCACGATTGTCAAATTCGCGCGGTAGAAGAGGAAGGGCAAAAAATTTTCTATTAGGTCGCTAGTAAGTACCAGTGGCGTAAAAAAATTCGAGTTTCACAACCTTATATATATATATATATGTTAATATAATATATGTTTAATATTAATAATATTAATTTTATTATATATATTGTAATAGATGTTAATATATAATAAAATTAATATTATTCTAATTATATTTATTAATATTAAAGTAGTATTTTTATTTTTGAAAACAAAGAGAGAATGAAAATACTATTTTAATATTAATAAATATAATTATAATAATATTAATTTTATTACATATATTGTAATAGATGTTAATATACAATAAAATTAATATTATTCTAATTATATTTATTAATATTAAAGTAGTATTTTTATTTTTGAAAACAAAGAGAGAATGAAAATACTATTTTAATATTAATAAATATAATTATAATAATATTAATTTTATTACATATATTGTAATAGATGTTAATAAAATTAATATTATTATAATTATTTTATTAATATTATTTTATTAATATTAAAGTAGTATTTTTATTTTTGAAAATAAAGGAGAAATGAAAATACTATTTTAATATTAATAAATATAATTATTATAATATTAATTTTATTAATATATATTATAATGGATGTTATATAATAAAATTAATATTATTCTAATTATATTTATTAATATTAAAGTAGTATTTTTATTTTTGAAAATAAAGAGGAAATGAAAATACTATTTTATTATTATTAAATATAATTATAATAATATTAATAATATTAACTATATATGTCATAATAGATGTTAATATATAATAAAATTAATATTATTATAATTATATTTATATTAATATCAAAGTAGTATTTTGATTTGAAAAAATAAAGATTTTAATATTAATAAATATAATTATAATAATATTAATATAATAATAGATGTTAATATACAATAAAATTAATATTATTATAATTATATTTATATTAATATTAAAGTAGTATTTTTACTTTTGAAAATAAAGAGGAAATGAAAATACTATTTTAATATTAATAAATATGATTATAGTATTAAATTGATTAGAATTTTTCAAAACAAACTGTCTTTTAGAAAAAATTCTCTCGGATAGAGAAGACTTTCCTTCCTTTTTCGTCTTTCTCTTCCTTTTCTCCTTTTTCTTCCTCTTGCTTCTGAAAGAGATCGAAAAAATAGTAAAATAACAAAAATAGTAAAAATAATTGTCAGGAAAGATAGTGGGGAACAGCGAACGTGGAGACACCCACTACAAACTGTCGAAATATCAACCTAGTCTCCTCTCGTTCGCGTGAATACCACGCTCATTACCGGATTTTAGATCCCACTCTAATTTAATCGTAATCTCATTTGTGCAACGCGCACAAATCTTCTTCTTCTAATTTCTACATAAATATGTATTTACAAACTCTCTTCCCACGTACTTACACAGCGTGAAAATATTCTCGCTTTGCCGCGAATCGAACTCAATGCAACCTGCGTTCGTACGATCGACGAACACGGCCGTCTCACTAATTTCAATTTTCTTATTATTTGTCACGCGACCGATTGTCGAACGAACCAGACCTGGGCGAAATTTAATTCGAATAATAATTTGTAACTAAATTTTTAAAATAATTACTTCTTCATTATATGGATTAAATAATGGAAATAATGGATTTCAATTAATGGTACGTAGCTCATTTGGTCAGTTAAAGGAACTTGAAGCTATGCAAAGTAATAGGGAAAGTAATAAATTGAAGAATTGATTATTTGAGGATATAATATCTACTTGATAATTGAAAATTTTTGTCTCTAACGTAACATTCAAAATAAATATCAATGAAACCAAAATATTTAATTCTTAATTTTAAGTTTAGGTTATCATTGGGTTTGTGAATAAATTTTTCAAACGATCTTCTTCAGTATTTGGAATATAATGAAGTTCAATTAATGGTATGTATAGCTCATTTGGTCAGTTAAAGGAATTTGAAGCTATGCAAAGTAATAGGGAAAGTAATAAATTGAAGAATTGATTATTTGAGGATATAATATCTACTTGATAATTGAAAATTTTTGTCTCTAACGTAACATTCAAAATAAATATCAATGAAACCAAAATATTTAATTCTTAATTTTAAGTTTAAGTTATCATTAGGTTTGTGAATAAATTTTTCAAACGATCTTCTTCAGTATTTGCAATATAATGAAGTTCAATTAATGGTATGTATAGCTCATTTGGTCAGTTAAAGGAATTTGAAGCTATGCAAAGTAACAGGGAAAGTAATAAATTGAAGAATTGATTATTTGAGGATATAATATCTACTTGATAATTGAAAATTTTTGTCTCTAACGTAACATTCAAAATAAATATCAATGAAACCAAAATATTTAATTCTTAATTTTAAGTTTAGGTTATCATTAGGTTTGTGAATAAATTTTTCAAACGATCTTCTTCAGTATTTGGAATATAATGAAGTTCAATTAATGGTATGTATAGCTCATTTGGTCAGTTAAAGGAATTTGAAGCTATGCAAAGTAACAGGGAAAGTAATAAATTGAAGAATTGATTATTTGAGGATATAATATCTACTTGATAATTGAAAATTTTTGTCTTTAACGTAACATTCAAACTAAATATCAATGAAACTCAAATGTTTAATTCTTAATTTTAAGTTTAGGTTGTTATTTCGAATAATAATTTTTGAATAATTTTTTGAAACAATATTCATCAGTATTTAGCAAATAATGGATTTCAATTAATGGTACGTAACTGGTTTGGTCAGTTAAAGGAGTTTGAAGCTATGCAAAGTAATAAATTGAAGAACTATTTATTTGAGAAAGCAATATTTACTTGATAATTGAAAATTTGTCTTTAGAATAACACTCAAGATAAATATCAATGATATTTACCAAAATATTCAAATGAAAAGAAAATAATCAATGAAAATCAAAATAATTGTACTACTGTGTTATCAGAAATTTGTTTTTACAATTAACTTTCGAAAGGAACTCGTTTCTCAAACATTTGGTCTGTTAATGAGCAAAATTTGTTAAAGTTGCAAATGTCGAGGAACAATTATTAATAATATCAATATCATTTCTCTTCACAACTTTAAAAAGTAATTTAAAAGTAATGTTCGAAAAATTTTCGAAAAAAACCCAGGTCTGGAACAAACTTTGATCACATCGGGACAACGTGTACTCTTCTCCGCTTTTCCCACGCGGATTGTATGTTGATACGATGCTACGCGATGCGAGTAACGCGATGCGAGCACGCACGCTCGTAGTACACGCGAGCGTGTATTCTCTGACCTGACGTTGATCAAGGTTGCGATAGAAAAGTCGACTTTTCCGACGAAAATGGGAAACACCGTCGCGACGGGGCAAACCGTTAGCAAAAGCATTAGCAACAGCGTTCTACTCGATCCTCGAGCAGAGTCGCTGGCGCGACTTTCACCTTTCACCTCGAGTGAAGCACGACTCGCCGGGCTGACTTCTCGAACCTTTGCCCGAACGACGAACGTCGCGCGGGATTCTTCCAAGAAGAAGAAGAAGAAGAAGAACGCGTCGAAGTCGGGAACTATCAGCTGGCAGGAGCCGACGCCGATCGTACCCGAGTACGGTCACGATTCGGTTTCACCAATCCGTATCCGAGATACCGATTCCGAAGCCAGGCGAGTTTAACGCTAGTTGAATCTCTCGTATACCTGTCTCAAATCAACCGACCGAATGGAACCCAATTATTTTAGAAACAATTTAACCCTTTTGCATCACTTTATATCTAACAATTCTTGTGTTTTTCGTTTATTTTACTTGAAAAATTACGTGCAACGATTAGAGAAAAGATAGCAATAAACATTTGTACAGTAAGTAAAATTATAATTTAATTTATGGCGACAGGGTGACATGAGTGAATATCGCCGAGAGCGGAATAATCCGGCGTTGGTGATATTTGACAATCGTCGTGTGACAATTATTCCGTTTACAGATGGAAATGGGTCAATTGTACGCTATTATACCTATTATACCTATTATAGATTTAGTTATACGATATTACATGGTTATGAAATATGTATGTAAATGCAATGTACGCAGCGAACGTCTTGGCAAAGTATGACAAACACTGATTACGGCGTTTTACGTAGTACGTCAGTCGTACTCGAGATGCCAGATTTTCAAAATGAATAGATTTAAAAATATCTCCGTCGTATTGCAATTTCTGCTTTTACAATTAGCGAAATTTGTCGAACGGGATTATTAATCACGATCGGTGTCAATTTCAATATCAGAAATAATTGTGTCGCGTACGAAACTTCGGAATTAGAAATCTGAGAAGATACATCTACTCTATTGATAAAAATCGACAGAAATTGCAACAGAGGAAGATGAAAAAAATTGTTTCAATTTCGTAAAATCGGACACCCGTCAAATTGACGGGCGCAGTGAACCACGTTGTAATGTTAACCAGATATTCCGCGCTCGTAGCTTCACCTTCGCCTCGGTCGAAAGCGACAGTGTTCCCGAGTTTCCCTCTTGTCCACCAGCAACTTCTTCCTCTTCTTTCCTATCCTTGCGCTTTCTACGTCGTTTCGAGCCGGTCGATTCGAGTCACGAAGAGAAAACAAAACGGTCGTCCCGTTCGTCTACGATGATTCCGTTTCTCTCGGGGAATCTTTTTAACGCTGTTGATACAGTTTGCAATTCCCTTACGACCGAACGAAACGAAGAGAAACGTTCAACGCGATTCTACTGGAAAACTAATCATTTTCAAGCGGCAGGGTCGAAATAACTACCGTAATCAAAACAAATTGCGTTCGAGTAAGCGTACCTCTTCCATCCACGCAACCAGCAAAAAAGACACGATGCTAATTAGCCAGTGAATCGAGGTGTTTTGACCGCGCTCCCGAATTGCAAGACGGATAAGAGGCCCCTCGAAGATTGTGGGCCCCCCTCCCCCTCCCCTTTTGTAATCTGATCTGACGAAACGTCCTAACGCCGGGCCGTAAGTAAGTACGGTGAGAAGAGCGAAACAATCGTGGAAACGGTCTTTTTCTCGCCACCAGACGACTATTTAATTTAGCGATTCTGCTCTCCTCTGTGTCAGATGCTCTCGTTAAACTTTCTGTCGAAATTGTGTGTCGAAACGTGAGCCAAGTCACCGAGAGAGATGAAAACCACGAAATTTCCACGCGTAAATTCCAATCGCATCTCCCTCTGGCCCTCGCGCGAATCGAAACGATCAATTTGTAACCTAAAATAACCTAAAAGTTAACAGATCGCGCTCGCTCTTTCCGTGTCACTCCTTTTCCGCGTCGAAGGCGAACGAATCGGATAACGATCGATTGCCTCCATTGTCCTCCATTGTTCGTTTGCACGAACACGTATGTACGTTTCCCAGCCAGCTGTTGTTTCCAACAATTCAGAAGAGAGAAGTGGTGAGAGAAAACAAGTGATTACGAATTTCAGGTAAAAAAGGATGAAGGAGATGGCAGCGTTGCTGATCGCAGCTGGCCTGACCGTAGCCGTGAGCCAGGAATACGTGCCAGGGGGACATGCCTTGTTCGTCAGAACGTCGCCGTCCTCCGTAAGAGATGGTAAGAGAGATTACACGAGTCGAGAGTCTTTTCTTCTCCGATCGAGAAACTAAAGAAAAGAAAAGAAAAGAAAAGTGATAACGATAACGATAACGATAACGATAAAGAGTTTCCTCGAAACGAGTTTGATCGAAATAATCGTTTGAAATCCATTAGCACACTCGAGAGTCCAGCGAGCTGCTCCGATATCGGCCGCAGACGTGATGGCGCAAAATATCCTCGAGTGGATTCAAGGGATCTACCGGCAGGGCGCACGTAAACGTACGTTCTCCGCAAGGAGCTTATCCTCTTGAGAGAGAAATAGAAACCCTCTAGAATCCAGAGAATGGAATTTTCACAGCGATTTTGTGCTCCCCGCTAGTTTTTGTCCTTTCACCGATCCTCTATCGAGATCTCTTCACATCTCTAATATGCAAGTCACATCTTCTCTCTCTCTCTCTTTCGCCTTGAAAAATCAACTCTATACTTAACCTCTTGCGTTGGAATGACGTGCCACGCACGTCGAGAATCTTTTATCCCAAAATTTCTATATTTTCTCAGTTTTAAGTATATTTAAATATAACCCAGGCAAAACAAATAGTAATAAATTTATATTAATATTATATAATATTAATATTAATATATTAATATAAATTTAATATCATATAATATTATATTATATAATGTTAATATAAATTTAATATTATATAATATTAATAATATAAATTTATTACTTCTTAGTAATTTTTATCCAGCGATATCATTATCGACGAGGTCAAAAAGAAAGCGACAAATTATTGGCAGTTCGGTCACTCGTTATGGTCCGCGAACCAGTTGCCAGCGCAAGGGGTCAACGAATTAGTCCAACTCTGCTACCAAAAAATTAGCAATGATCGAATCATGGTTTGCAAACTAGAGAGATACTGGAGAGTTTCGTTAGAGTTCCGTTTAAGCGAAAACGAAAACAGACGCGGAAACGGAAACGGCACTGATATATCCGTGCTCGAAAGATACTTCCAAAGATTTCGTCGATCGTGAAGTTCACGGTCGTTTTGAACAATAACCGTCATTTTCAATACGCAATTAACCGTATTTTAACCTCGACTTGGTCTCGCACCAATGCACGCTTTTTATTAGCAATCCCACCACATATTACCGATCAAAAGTATCACGACAAACGCACGTCAAATTTCCAATAACAACGAGCGAGTTGCGCTCGTAAGGCATCTACAAACATATGTCAACTATACACGTACGTGCACACTTGTACGATACAAATGTCAGCGAGAAGATGCGTGTTACGAGTGCAAGCAATTAAACGCGATCCGACAATCCGTCACGTAGCTTCATGATTTCAATTCAAACTGGCGATTCACCGAGTTTGAATTGAAATTTCAAACGAACGTCGGGTTGAATCGCGGGGCTTTCCAGTGCGACGTACCAAGAACTTTCACAGTCGAGATCGTTCGTCTTGCAGCTCGTCAGCAGTCGGATCCTCCAGGATACCTGCCACCGTACAGCACTCAGAGACCACCGGAAAGGCCTCGACCTTTTCAACCACCGTCGACGACCATCGGTTTCCCGTCCGGTCCATCGACAACCGTGCAATCACCGCCGTTCTCCACCCAGAGGCAAACGTACCTTCCACCGAGCAATCAACCATCATCTTACAATCCTCGCCCCACCACGACACCCTCCTACGGCACCTCCGCTTTTCCACCCTACAGCTCGACACCCTCTACTCCACGACCACCTGGATACTCTACTCCCGGTGGAATCTCGACCAGCTACGGTTACTCGACGCCAGATTTCACCACTGCCGGACCAACGAAATTCTCCACGCCGGCTGGTTTTTCAACCACGTACGGTTATCCGTCTCAAAGGCCCAGTCCTGGTTACGTACCATCCGCAGATGGAACCTCTTTCGACACCGGCGTCGCTGGATACCCTTCCTCACCGGGCTATCCATCCTCCCCCACTCCTGGAGGAGCGTTTCCCCCTCAGGAAACCGGCACCGGAACCGGCGGAACCCGTGTCACCAGACCTCCTGCGACTTCTCCTGGCGGAGGTACTGTTGCTACTCTTTTTCATTGCGCTCGCGTTTTTTTCTCTCTCTCTCTCTCTCTCTCTCTTCCCCGCATAAACTATCTAGTCATCTACTGCGAGTGAATCACTTTCAATTCGCTGTGGTACGCTAGGACCGACCGGTGGCGAAGACGACGAGGGCAAACACCCGCCGCATATTCACGCTCTCGACGTCGTGTGCAGCAAGACCATGATGACCATCAACATCGAGTTCAACCGCGCCTTCGACGGAGTTATTTACTCAAAGGTAAACGTACTCGATTGCAAACGACAACTGCCAGCAGGGAACTCATCTCTCGATACGCGCGCGCATTTGTGCAGGGATACTTTATGAATCCAGAGTGTCGGTACGTGGAGCAAAATTCCGGGCAGACACAGTACTCGTTCACGGTGAATCTGGACTCCTGTGGCACCCAATTTATCAACGATTTCGAGGGCGAAGCCGGCCAGGCGTACTTGGAGAACGTGCTCGTTCTACAGGTAAGTTCGTTTCAACCGTCGAGCCGCCGATTTCCATCATCGTCGATGATAATTCGTTCGTTCGCGTCGTTTGGTTCAGAACGAGCCAGGTATACAGGAAGTTTGGGACACGGTGCGCAGAGTTCGTTGCCTCTGGGAAGGGAACATCAACAAAGCGTTGACGGTCAACTTCTCCGTGGACATGTTGAACCAAGAAATAGTGACGTTCAGCGGTGACACGGCGACTGCCAGGTTGGACATACAGGTGGGAAGGGGACCGTTCGCGCCTGCTGCCGATGGCCTCGTTAAGATCGGAGAGACAATGACTCTGGTCGTTTCCGTCGAGGGAGATCCTGGCTTCGATCTTCAGGTACGTCAGTCAATCAAATTTCGCAACGTTCTCCAAGTTTATCGCTAGTTCTCTTCTCAACTGTGTGGTCCATCCGCCGGGATGGACTTGCAAACTTTCAGGTCCGCGATTGTCTGGCTCGCGACGAATCATCCGCCAACACGATACAACTGACCGACGAAAGAGGATGCATACTGAAGCCAAAGTTGTTCGGCGCGTTCCAAAAGACGAACGACACCGGTAATACGGGCGCGTCGATCATCGCTTACGCGTACTTCCAAGCTTTCAAATTCCCCGACGTGATGGACCTGTTCATCGAATGCAACGTGGAACTATGCAAAACCGACTGCGAACCATGCCCCGATGCCAATCAGGTAATCCCGTCACGCGAACCATACAGTCTGATCGACCATTACTCACGCATCTCTGCTTGCATTTTTCAGCAAATCGAGCCGGGCAGGCGACGCCGATCGATAAACACGTACGCGGCATCGACGAACGCTTCAACGACGGCGAACGGCTCGACCGTGTTACTCTCCGATCCGATACGCGTCGCTCGTCGCTTCAAAGTGATCATGGTGGACGACTTGAGCAAAGCCAGCAACCAAATTTTGCAACAGCTCGAGGAAACCGCGGTCGAAGAGGTCGCGAATAGCGCGACGAACGTTTGCATGACGCACAGTGGCTTTTACACCGCTATCTCGTTCTTCTTAACCACCATCCTTGTCACAACCATCAGTGCGGTCACGCTCTACGTCAAGCTGCAACGAGTGTACGGATCGAAATTCATCTATTCGTAGACTGTTTTATTCCGGCCGTGATGATTAATCCCGGTTGCGATCAATTCGCGTCAATCTTTTGTCAATCTTTCGTATTACACAGCTTTTCCATCGTACAGCTCGTTCGTCATATGTAGAGAACAATATAAATCACGAACAACGCAAAAGAGAAACGATGACGCGAAGAACAATTTATCGCCGCGACGTGTGTTACTTGCCATCTTTGCGATACTTTTCATAGGCGTAACAATCACGCCTGTCGCAAATATACGAATAAATAATTAATTGTAACGCCATATTTCTTGCGTTAATTGATCGTCGTATTTCAACAAATCGAATTCGATTTCACACTCGAAATCGGATAGGCATTGCCAATGTGGTATTTGTAAAGCCAGTCGAGTATTTCTATTATCAATCCAGCAATGACATTTTTTAACGATACAACTGCGCTGTGCGACAAGAATCGTAGCAACATGAATATGTAGCAATAACAATAGCAGTAACATGTACGTGTATATTTCTCGTTTCACTGTACAGTCGTTTCCCTTCGCATCATTGGAGATGACAGGTTCGATCGTCGACGAGTACAACAAACCTTACGATTAAGAATAACACGTATACAGGACGAATAAAATATACATACATACACGTGTATACAAATCAAATAATTCTCTCTCATTCCATATTTATATTCCAATGTTGTTTAGTTGCTAGGCAACAAATTAAATTTATACAAAATAAATTTTTACAAAATTTCATCGATCACGCGTGTCATGTATCGTAACAATCATGGATCGAAATAAAAACTGAAACAAATAATACTCTTTAACCATTGACAACTTTCTTGATCGCTCAGGTACAAAATATGTAGACACGAAAAAGATGTACGTATTTATACATATATACATACATGCATACATGCATACATGCATACATACATACATACACATACTGCTATTTTTTTTTAAATCGTAATATGTACAAATGCTCTCCCCGGATCTTTCTCTCTGCTATTATCTCGCCTACCATGTTCAAATCCATAAACACACGCAAAATGTACTCGGGATCGTTCGCTTCGATAACCAGCAGATAAAATACCCCCGTGTTAGACAGAATGTGAGGAATTTTTGGAAACACTCGTTCCATAACTTTCCTACCGTTTGTACCACCTGCCCAAGCTTTGAACAGAATCTGCCTGTTTGAAATTTCATCGTCACTGGTTACCACGTACGGTGGATTAAACACCACGACATCGAAAACGTTACCGGTGCGTATGCAGCTCAATAAATCCATCTGCGCGATATCTATATCTACTAGATTCTCCGCAGCCGTTTTCTTTGTAACTTTACACGCATCGACATTGATGTCGATCGCAAGATGATAGCACTGACAGTATTTCTTCAAAGCCATCGCCAGTGCCGTGATCACGATACCAGATCCACTACCTATCTCTAAACACATCACAGGTTTCATAGCTTTTAGGACCTCTAAGTCAGCTTCTAAGGCATCTATCAAGAGGAAGGAATCCTCCGAAGGTTCGTAAACTGATTCCAGATCTTTATCCGACAATTTAACTATCGGTGTATTCATGATACATTAATGGAAAATATAGATAGTTTTTGTACAATTACTCTTTCTTTTTTTCTTTCTTTTTAGATATTAATTTAGATCCAGCTATCACAATTATCTCACGCTTGTTATCATCATTCATTCGTATTCCTTAGAAACGTTACTCCCTTTTTCTATTTCCGCCTGTTCTTCCTTACTTAAAATATTAGAAGCATTACCATACGAAGGGCTATGATCCAGCAAAGCTTTCCTCTTCGCCGTGTTTCTCTCCACTGCTTGATGAATTTTATTTAACCGTTCTTGCGTACTTTGTAAAATGTTACTGACAATGGTGATTTTGTGCTTGGCGTTGATCAGCTTTTTCACGTACGAGTCCGTTTCCAACGGGCACTGCAACCCTTCGTTGATCCTCTGCAACTCCTCTGTCAACGACTCAATCCGTTGTTTCAACTCTATCTGACATATTCTATGGAAACCAATGAATTTCTTGGTAAATAAAAGGTCGAACGTGAACGTCGCCGAGTTTTCGAAAACTTTTGAAACGCTAGTGTTTATACCTACGCTGCGATACATATTTAAAAAGGAAACAACGCATACCTCGTGGCGCGAATTCTCTCGTCCAATTGATCCACCGTCGGTTTCAAAAGGCTCATAAGACCTTCTGTCAGAGCATCTCTTGTTGGATTTTCACAAAAGTCGTCGATTTTGTCATCGATGGACGTATTATCACTCGCTGTGTCCACATCCATGTTTTTGGACTCTTCTTCCTACTTTCTTTCCTTCTGGTTTCTCAGATGGCGCCACTTGCCTCATTAATGAGGTTAGGTCACACATCGATTAAACCTCCGCGAAATTTTCGTCAAACGATCAACTAGACATCTAGGGGAAATTTGTAACGCTTGCCTCTAAACGTGAGACTCTGTACACTCTCTGCTAGTAACTTTATATTTTATTTATAAAGATGTGTTCACATTGAATGGGATCGTACTTTACCTGACTTTGAATTTTCATAGCAGACATAGAATAGGTTAGAATCGAGTCGGATCAACGCATTAAAAATTTCAACCAAACGCTAGTTTGACAATTATATAGACACTGACAATTATATAGACAATTATATACATATAGTGACATTGATTTAACAACGCGAGGAAATTTCGCGTCAAATATTTTCTATCCAATAGAAAGTTGCTCCGACTTGCGCATGGTTTGAAAGTCATTTGTGAAAAAAAAAAGAAAAAACGCCATGTCGTAATTATAAATTCTATGGATGCAAATGAAAATGTGAAATTATGTATGTACGTATGCGTGTATGTATATATATACAACTGTAGGAAATAGACGTTTATCGGGTGTAGCGATATGTATCTCTGCTGCAAAACAAGTTTTTACATCATTGTCTATTGGTGAAACATTTGCGATGAATGTTACCTATAAGTATATACGTACATGTATATATGTGCATCTATTCTTTCTAATTGGGACAGTCAAACGCGTTTATTTGCGAATATATAATACGTATATGTCGTGATATATTTAAATTACACAACACACAAATTACAATGATTTACAAACATTATGAACAAAATTCTAGGAAATCGTGTAGGAAAATGCATGAAATTTCGTCACAACCGCCTTGAATTTTCCCTTTTTCGGTAAATGAGGTATATCTGTGTTAAGATTAATGTTGGTCGAGCAAACGTATCGATCGAAGATCAGATGTGAAAGAAAAGAGTGCCGAAAAATGAGGTAATGCGGCTTGAAAAATCGCGAAGCAGATTTAACCCTTTGTCTCGAAGAGTGATAGCATAATTAAAGCATGGATTCGTGAATACTTATATACGTCGCAGATCAGTTACAAAGTGATTGTTATGACATGAACAATTGTGCGTTATCGTAGTCATTTTGCGTTTCATTTGGATATCTGAACGAGAAAGTAGGAAGAAGGAAGGAAGGAAGGAAAAAAAAAAAAAAAAAAAAAAAAGAAAAATAAGAAAGAAAATCCTAGTATGCCATATTTTGCATCTCATTGTTTCCGTTCTATCTTCTGTCAGGACGTCTCTCTATAAATATAGATAGTCATATAATTCACGTGCGTGAAATTCGACAAAAGAAAAAGAAAAAGAAAAGTAACGGGAGGTGTACATCGTAAAATACACACGAGATATGTTAGTTGAGACGCTATTATTTACGGTTAATTTGTATTCGTCATTGATATCATTATTGCGCTACGAATATGTTGTAAACGATTATTATGTAACACATGAATGGCGTTTAATAGAGTATTTATTGAAATTAGCAGATATGTCCGTTCTTCTTTTCCCCACCCTTGTGAGAAGAGGGGAGATCAACATTTGCTTCATCTTTTTCCACATGACTGAACGTGACTTTCGAGTTTCATCGTTCAAAAGGTCCCTTCCAAGTTGTTAAAGAAAAATGACCCTGCTTTTTAATTGATGGAGAAACGTTAGATTATTTTCAGCTAATCAATGAGAAACAGCTTATGTTATCAAAACACTTTGAAGATTACTTAAGGAGGCAATGAATTGATATTATGGAAGAGAAGCTGTTTCAATGAATCATGAAAAAAAGGAAACAAGAAAGATGATACGTGTTGGTAACAAATACAAGTAGAAAGTGGCGAAAGAAAGGTACTTAGAAAGAAGAAGAAGGTTTTCTTCAACAATCAAATCTTCGTATAAAACAGTCTTCTTTGAACTCATTGCTTTTGTATGTAACTATTTTATTTTTGCAGTTGGTGGGAGGCCACAGCACACAGGTTCGCAAAGACAACTGCTGACATTCGTGATTTCGTTCAATTTGCTCGCTACCTACACGTCGTGCAACACGGATCCCTCGTTTCTATCGTTCAACTTCCAGCCTGAATATTTGTGAATATGAACTGCATTCGGAACAACGTTGGGTGAGTAATTTCCTGTCGCAATCATTGTACCAACAGCCGTATCTAGAAATTTTTAATCTGTATAATCATCAATTTTTCATTAGACAACTTCATAGTCGTTTTACCTGTAATCACAATATTATATGTACATATATCATATACACATTGAACATTTTTCTAAACTCCCAGTGCTTTCGTTAAACTTGTGTTTCCAATAGCTAAATTTTTAATAAATAGTTACTGATATTATATGTATGTGTATATATAGTGGGATAGGAAAATTCTCACGCCGTTTATTTATTTTTTTTTCTTTATACGTTGACCAGAACAGATAAAATAGCAGTGGTTCACGAAGAAACTATTTAAAAAGTGATACACAAGTTAAAATGATCCAACTTTGTGTTGAAAGAACGTGAAAACCGTGAAAGGAGCATCCCAAGAATCAAAGAATGGAAGATTGCAGTATTTGAACATCTTTCAACATCTCGTTTTCAAGGTTTTCTAGACTCCCAGTGCTTTCGTTAAAATTATGCTTTCAATAATTTTAAATAAAAATATTTAATAACCAATATTTTTAGTATAACTGAATTGGATCGAATAACGAGTCATAGAGTTGAACGGCGTGATCCTTTGCATAACTCCGCAGAAGAGAAAGTGGCAAAAAATTGTTGAGATCCGATTTCGTTGGGTGCGCAACATGTTGAAGAAAAACGAACGAACTTCTCTTTTGATTCTGAAATAAATCCTTTCACGATAAGTAAAAGTTCATACTAACTCATTTGAAAGCAATCAATCATGTTGCAAATACAAGTTCTTGACAGTGCAAGTCAAGATTGCAGTCGATCACTCAACTGAATTGTCAGAATCGAATGATCGAATTTTTGCGAACGTGACAACTGGAGTTTGAAGAAACTGGTTGTAAGAAATAGTAAGAAACGCTATCTGGTTATGAAACCTGTTTGTGACTTGTATTTTGTCGAAGATAAACTTCTCGGGTGTTCTTGTTTGTTTGCTTTTAGATTTGAAGAAAATTAATTGAGATATTTGAACGCGATAGGAGTGTTTGCTCAACGATTTCCTCGATTCTTTTGTTTGTTTGTTTGTTTTTGAATGATTCACATGATGACGCTAATAATCGACATCAAACAGAGGGACCTTGCAGTTTTATTGAAATTTTCAAATTTTACCATTACTTTGATCAATTGAATCCTATTCATTTATCATTGAATACTTAAAACTAAAAATACGGAATTCGCGAAGATGAAAAATTCTGCGAATTGTACGATTAAATTACCCGTAAAGAACAAGGAATTCATTATGTGATTACATGAGAATCTTCAATGATATCAAACAAATCATATAGCGACTAGAGGCTAAACTGCGACATTACTGCAGATTATTGCACAATAGTTGGCAATCGCTAGTAAATCAACTATTGTTACTATGTTTTATCATTTTAAAATCTTGAATCATTCATCACAGTAGTCCTCACTTTAAATTCTTATTTGAATAACAAATTTCAAACGTTACTTCCCTTGACTGATAATACAAATATTGTAGTTTTAGAAAAAGATATATGGGTGACAGAAAATGTTTGACATTATAGGAAAAACAAATGGTCAAAATATTGATTAATTATCGGAAAATAAATGTTGTTCGAATGTAGAGGATCTATTAGTAACGTAGCATTAATTTGTCATTAATTGAAGTTTATTTGTATTTTGTTGCAAAACTGGTTTGATACGTATGTTATTAACAGCAATGCCATTGTGTAACTCTCTAAATTAGTAACGTGATGTGATTTACTAGTTTGCGTATAATCAAGTGCGCATAGAAACATACTTATGTATATTACTGAACACTCATGGACACATGGGTAATTTTTTTTTATTACAAAAATATTATAATAATTATAATAATATTATAAATAATATAATATAATATTATTATATAATATAAATAATATAATAATATATAATAATAAATATTATAATAATTGTTAGTGATATTTTTATATTTGAGGGATTTTTTTCACACGAAATTTTGAGGCAATTTTTATAGATGCCTCTGCCTATTGCTTATGTTATTATGGGATCTAGGAGATTGTTCTCGCGACGTATCAAAGTAACGCGTGTGATTGCGCTTGCTCGATAAATCGGTGGTGCATGACAAATTAACAGAGAAGGGCAACGCACTCGTATGTAAATATAAACTTCAATTCGCACGCTATTTAATCTGGAAAAGAAGTTTTTCCATGGATAATTTATATATTTTGTTATTAGATAGTAAAATAATAATAATTATCTAATATTTATATTAGATAACAGACAATAATTATATTAAGTAATTTAGACAGTTTGTATTACAATTATATTTGTAATCTACACTATAAATTCCTAGGTAGTCAATATCTATTTTAATTATTCAAACACCGATAATGTCGCAAGTGTTTTCCCAAGCACCAAGAGGTTCTTGTTGTTCGTGGGAACGAAAATAGTACTGAGGTGAAAAAGAAAAAAAATTCCAAGCCATAATAGAGTTGAACCTACTTTACGTATAAGCAGACATAATTGTTTGTCGATGTTTCTCTCTCCCATATACACAAATTATACATAATTTAAGAAGGAAATTTCTAGAAACTTTTGTTACTCGTAGGTGATACCAATTTCTTCGAGGACAAACAATGTTTCGTTTATCCTAATCAGTCAATTATACGTATTATAACAAGAATTTTCGGTTTTATAATTGTGCTTTCGTCTAATCGTTTTGCAGCTATCATCGGAGCCTATTACGTAAACAATGAAACAGTATTTTTTCAGAAATAATTACACAAGATAACAAAATTACAGGGAATGTTTACTTTGTCATTCTACGCCGTCGTTTATTTAATTGATACTGAATTTCTTCTTTTTTTTTTTTTTTTTTATGTTGACTTAATATACAAAAATTTCGTTGTGAAGACACGTTGGTTACAAAAAGCCATTATACATATACAAAAATAGTTAACAAGGTTTGAAGACAAGAATATAATTAACTTGCAAACATTGCAAACTTGCAAACTTGCAAACATTGACATACTGACATGAAACAATTTGAAACAATGAAAGAATTTTAGACAAACAATGCGTGGGAATTAATATTAAATTGACGATTAAGAATCCTTTTGAAAGTTTGGTATCTCTCTTTAAAAAAAAAATGTTTCACTGTTAAGGAGCGCTATTTGTATCCTTAAAATACATGTACCAACCAATTTACAACGTGAATTTGTAACTTTTAAAACGAATCTCTATTGACTAAACTTGTTAGAAGCAAAACTGATCAATTTCTACTTCTTTTCACAGTTTCACAATTTCATCAAATTGATACAATTAATGTTGAATTATCAAGATCACCTGTTGCAAAAGTAACAGTGAGTACACATTTAGAAAATAAAAATATTTAAAATATAATTGAATTGAATATTTGTTGTTAATGAATTTATATTTATTATAGATTTATTTGTTATATTAAAATATTTAATATAATACCTAATATATTATACTGTTTAGTAATTTATGAAGATAACAATAATTTCTTTTTCAGTGAAAAAATAAACGTTGATCCTCAACAGTATACATATATCCATAAACATGTACATATATCCATGAAATTTTTAATTGGAGCTGAGATGTTCACTTCTATAAAAGAGTTTATACAAAACTTGTTCAGAAGACGTATGTGAGAAATAGAATACTTCATAATTTTCTGAGAAAAGGCTTGATGGGTGGCAAAAATTCAGACTAATCTCCCTTGACTTTTGTTCTGAATTTTCTGGACAGTTTGGCAAATTGCAGTATGGCGACTAAGAAAATATATATAATTAGTTTTGAAATTTTGCATTCGTTGTTTGACTGTGTTTACTGCAATATATCGCGTTTGATGACTACCACCATTTACGTTGTTGCATTTATCTATGAACCAGATTATGAACTATCATGAAGAAAAATAATTGTTCTTTAGTAAAACATTAGTCGTGTAGGAAGAAGTTTATGACATTTATAGTTTCTTCAGGCAATAAAAAAAAAAGCTATCTACATGATATAATTGCAATTCACTATATATAGTATAAGCAGATATGCAGGTACTGTATATAATCTCATACTGTAAATCAGATTTATGCAGATTAATTTCATTATATTTACTTCTTTCAGATAAATATAACATTGCAGATAAATTATGATAGTGTAGATATATTGCTGAAAATACTTGCAATCATTTGAATAATAACAAAAATAACTTTGTTACTTTGAAATATGATCAAACGGATATAAATAATTTAGAAATCCTTGACATTCAATGAGTATCTAATAAATCGGTCTAAAAATTGCTTAGAAAATTCTTAAAAGAAAAGAATATAAGATAATGACTGGGAGATTTGTTTCGTTCTAAATTACGTTGCCACTTTATGCTGATTAGACCGATAACTTAGCAATTGTGGAGAGTTAAGTACTCCTCTACTCGGTAGCACACTATCATTTCCAATTTGAGTTCCCTTCAGTCTTCAGTCGGCTCTTATGTAAGGTTTCGATTGCGTGTAATTTTCACTTGTCGTCATACTTTGATATCTTCTTCACAAATGACTGTAGTGCGTACATCATTAGGCTTGTTAAGCTGGATAAAATTTTTGTTTCATTGTGCTGTGTGCGAGTTCGGTTTGACGGTCTTCTCGTGACCTTGATTCCAACAGAGTGATGGGAATTATGTATGTACTACGAAAACCTGTGTTGTCATATAGTTTTGTTACAATTAATTTTACGATATATCAATCTTTCTTTTTGATAATATAATAGATATTATATTAATTCATGTCTATATAATATCATTGTATTAAGTTTAGTACAGTGATCAGTACATTTTATTATAAACAAATTTTTATTTGTAACTGTAATTTCATGAATATTTTCATGGAAAATTAAGAATTAAGAGCATGTCTCTTCTCACTCTCAAACCAAAATACGTATAATAATTTTAGAATTATAACAAGGAAGCTCATGTCATCATTTCATTGCACTCTCTCGTGCATCGTTCATTTTCAAAAGCAGTCGATGAATCTAACGGTTCATTTATTCAGCACGTTTATTTTTAAAGCAAGTGTGCGTGGATAGTGCATTTAATTGATCCGCTCCATTACAACAATAGCACAGATTTTTTTTCTCGTAGTGCATAAACATAGTCTTCTAACGCTTCGGACGGTTCAGAATGAGTTTGTCTCATCCATAAGATAGTGGTGGTAGAGCAATTACGAAACCAATTTGTGAAATAAAGACAAAACTAAATATAAATAAAAGTACTATATAAATAAATATATGTATATAAATATACATATGTTAGTATTTAGCATCGCTGTTGTGCTTCCTTAAATTTGGAATCATATCATATTAAACTTTATCTTTTGGCCACAATTACAAATCATAAATTATTCGTTACTTTAAATTGATTGCGACAGTGTTGTTCGAAGTGAATCAATTAAAAGACAATTATTCGTTGCAGGGATTACAAGGACGTTGTGGAATTCACCATCAATGGACAGAGTTACACTGGTATGAATTATAATCAAATATGTATAATCAAATCGATAGCAATAATTACAACGGTATTACAATTTCCAGTGTTGGGAGATATTCCTCCTGATACATCCTTGAACGTCTTCATTCGAGATTATGCGAAATTACGAGGAACAAAGGCCATGTGCCACGAAGGAGGCTGTGGTGTTTGTGTCGTGTCAGTGGAAATCAAAGGTGAAACAATGTCCGTGAACTCTTGCTTGATACCAGTCTTCATCTGCAATGGGTGAGTTTTGAATATCAGTGATATTTCTAAAACTTAATATTCAAACTATACTTCTCTATGACGTTCTTAGCCTATAGTCGTTTTTAAATCTCAGTTTTTCTTCTCTTTTTTTTTTTTTTTTTAATGTAGATGGGCCATCAAAACGATTGAGGGTGTGGGTAGCAAGAAAGATGGGTATCATACTCTGCAAGCAGCATTGGCTGGGAAAAATGGTACCCAATGTGGTTTTTGTTCACCTGGAATGGTAATGAACATGTACAGGTATAATACATATATGTATATTTATATAATATATATTATTACAAATATTATGCAGTTATAATAAATATATTACATTTTTAAGAATAAAAGACTAATTTTATAATAAATTATGTAATATAATAAATAAGAATGAAGAAGTAATTAATTCCATGTTCCTTTTTAGCTTAATGCAAGGTAAAAAATTGACGATGAAGCAGATAGAAAATTCCTTTGGAAGTAATATATGCCGTTGTACTGGTTATCGGCCGATTCTGGACACATTCAAATCATTTGCCAGTGATGCACCAAAACATCTTATTCAGGAGATTGAAGATATCGAAGTAGGTTGAAGATAATATTAAGACCAATGTGATAATTTGTTTTACTTCGCACTAACGAAACTTCAAAGATGAATAACAATTCTCGACGAGCAAATCGCCACACGTTTATGATTACGGATATTTATGCAGATTCACAGTTTTGCAAAAGCAATTTCTCCCCTTGCATTACATATTTTTTTAATTTCGGTTCCTTTCTGATACTTTGATTAGTTATAGAATTGAGGCTTTATCTCTTGCACTTACTTTGATTTCATCATTTAATCTTTTTTTGATAAAGCATTGTTTGTTATCTAGGAATTATTCAATGTAAAAAAGATTTGTAAAAGGACTGGCTTGGCATGTGAAAATGAGTGCAATGATTGCCACACAGTCGTCCAAAATATAGAAGACAACATTGATATGAAATTGGATGGTAGTCATTTCTATAAGGTTCTGTCAGTTGATGACTTATTTACAGTATTTAAAAATAATCCCGATAAAACTTATGTTTTGCATGGTGGTAACACCGCACATGGTAATTATTAATAACCACTATTTTATATTATTGTTTTATCATTGCTTTCATATTATGTTTTATCATTTGCTATCGTAGTACGTAAGAATTAAAGAAGTCGCATTTTTATCTTATAATCTTCGTATCCATATACTTGAAACATTTTATTTATTACATATTTCCTTTTTACAGGTGTATATCGATTGGAAACACCGGACATGATCATCGATATTAACAATATACCTGATTTGCGTGTTATAAATAAAACTAGCACGTCTTTAGTCGTTGGAGGAAATGTTTCACTTACTATGGCAATGGAAACGTTTGAAAAGTATTCGAAAGCCTCAGATTTCGAGTATCTGCAACACTTAGCCGAACATATTGATTTAATTGCCAGCGTTCCAGTGAGAAATGTAGGTAAATGTAATTGACACGCGTGTAATGAATATAAATCATCTATCAGTGATGAAATTTTGTATCTCAGGCTGGATCCATAGCAGGAAATTTAATGATCAAGCATGCGCATCGGGAATTTCCATCAGATTTATTTTTAATATTGGAAACTGCAGGAGCGCAACTGCACATAGGTAACTGAGAAAGTTTAAATAGAATTATATACGTCAATATAAGGTATATATCATAAAAAATTTTCTTTGATAAACAGTGGAAACCGGTGGCAAAAAGACCAGCATGACTGCATTGGAATTCTTGGATTTTGACATGAGACACAAAATTATATACAGTGTAGTATTACCGGCGCTTGGCAAGGAATACGAGTACAGATCTTACAAAGTATACATATCTTTTTTTTCTAGCGATATTTAAAATAATTGGATTACACGAGATAGTGATCTTAAGATGAATTTATTGGACTGTGTAGATAATGCAACGAGCACAAAATGCTCATGCTCACGTGAATGCAGGATTCCTGTTCAAATTGAATGGAGCTGGGAAAGTTCTCGAGCAACCGAATATCATATTTGGCGGAATAAACAAGAATTTCGTAAGTGAAGTTACAAATTTGCCTGACGGGGTGATGATCGGAGGAATGCGTTTAAACCAGGATTGACATTTCCAGCTGCATGCATTGGACACTGAAAAGTTCTTGAATGGAAAATCTATCTTCGACAAGGAAGTAGTCAAAGAAGCTTTGAACAGATTGGACAATGAACTTCTTCCTGATTATGTGTTGCCTGAGTATTCTCCAAAGTTCAGAAAGACGCTTGCGGAAGGGCTTCTGTTCAAGGTTTATATCGCTGGACAACAATGATTAAAATTCTGAACGGTGAAATTTTTAAATTTCAACGAGACATGAAATCATTTTTTTTTTTTTTTTTTTGTAGTGCATTCTAAGTATTAAGCCTGAGAATGTGAATTCAAAAGCACGCAGCGGTGCATCTATTTTGGAGCGTGGATTATCATCAGGCAAACAGAACTTCGAAACCGATAAGAATCTATGGCCTCTGAATCAGCCTTTGCCAAAATTGGAATCCATATATCAAACATCCGGCGCGGCTCAATATGTGAATGACATTCCACCGTTCCCCGATGAAGTTTTCTGTGCTTTCGTTCTTACCACAATAGCCAATGGAAAAGTGAATAAAATCGATGCTTCCGAAGCGCTGGTATTACTTTTACTACCAATTTGTTTGATAAAACATATCTCTGAAATCGTTAATTCTTAATTCTATTTATTTATTTATCTATTTACAACTCGGAATGTATTTTTTTTAGAAAATGAAAGGAGTAATTGCTTTCTATACCGCCGAAGACATTCCTGGGAAAAATGTATTCATACCAGCAAGCGCTCAAGAAATGATGATGATCTCTGATGAAATAGTAAGTTAAGCGGAGATTAAAATTTTTATAAATACAACTGAAACAGTGAGAACTAAATAAAACTAAATGTTGTAACAAGTATTGTATTTCTACATTTCTGCAATCTACTTACAAATGTCTAAAATTTGTAATTTGTACTTATCTGCTTGTTGTGTTTTAAGTTGTTTGTAGACAAAAATATCGAATACGCTGGGCAGCCGGTTGGTGTGATCGCCGCGACAACTTACGCAATTGCCAATAAAGCAGCGCAAAAAGTATACGTATCGTACGTCGATGTCGCACCTGAGAAACTATTGTTAACAATTGAGGATGTGCTTAGGTCCAAAGACGAATCCAGAATACTTCAAATGTTTAACTCTGAAGCGACAAACAAAGGTGTTCTAACGAAATATTTATTTTAAAGAAAACACTTGATCGTATTTCCTTTCTTCCAAATCTCTCGTTTCATTTGTGTATGATTACTATAAAAATTACCACGCTTTTTTAACTCGATTGTTACTGTTTCTGATTAAATCTCGTAGGTAGTGACGTGAAACACGTAATAAAAGGAGAATTTAGATGCGGAAGTCAGTATCATTACACTATGGAGACTCAAACTTGCGTCTGTGTGCCAATAGAGGATGGTATGGACGTTTATCCAGCAAGTCAGTGGGTCGATCTGATCCAAGTGGCCATAGCTGAGTGTCTTGGGATAAAGAACAACTGGTAAGATATTTATTACAAGCAAGTATTAGCAGCTAAAACATTGTTAATCAATTGTAATAACAATACTTTTTATTTGTTACAGTATTAACATAAATGTGAGGAGACTGGGAGGTGGTTACGGCGCGAAAATATCCCGTTCGTCGCAAGTGGCATGCGCTTGTGCATTAGTATGCTACAAGTTAAATCGACCGGCTAGATTTATTATGTCAATAGAAGCTAACATGCAGGCTATTGGAAAGCGTTTTGATACTCGTCAGGAGTATGAAGTCGGCGTAGATAGCGATGGTCGCATTCAGTATATGAATTCAAAGCATTGGGGCAACAGCGGTTGCAGTTTTAATGAATTTCATAGTCCTGTATCGGGGGAAGCTTTCAAAAGGTGAATATTTAAATATATATATTGCAATACACAGTTTAAGGAAATTAACTTAACTTTCGTTCCGGGGGAATTTCAGTTGTTACGATAACTCTACTTGGACTTATCAAGGCTTCGACATCAAAACTGACTTACCTTCCAACACTTGGTGTCGAGCTCCAGGTATTTCAACTCGTCAATAAACGATAAATCACACATAGCGAGGTTCTCCCTAAATTTTTCTAATTGTTGACAGGCTCGATCGAAGGTATAGCAATGATAGAAAACATAATGGAGCACATAGCAAAAATTACTGGGAAAGATCCGTTGGAAGTTAGGTATGCGAACATGCGTTCGGAACACAAGGAAGCATTGAACCCTATGATAGATCAACTGCTTGAAAACGCAGATTACGAGATGAGAAAGATAGCTGTAGACTCTTTCAATAATGTAAGAATGCTCGAATGTCTGTGATTCATAGTATGCATAAAGTGAAACATTAATCTATTAAGCAGTTCTGTAATTTTTATAGGAGAATCGATGGAAAAAGAAAGGAATAGCTTTGTTGCCTTTTATGTATCCCTTCGGTGTTTGGGGACAGTTTCACGCACTTGTTTCAATTTACGCCCGAGATGGCACAGTCTCAGTTACTCACGGAGGAATTGAGTGCGGCCAAGGAATTAATACCAAGGTACCAGAAAAAATATATTAATATAAAGCTTGTACAGCAGTAAAATTTAATTCTTTTTCTCTTCGTTCTTGTAGGTAGCTCAAATAGCAGCACACACATTGGGAATAGACTTATCGTTGGTTACTGTAAAACCAACCAATAATCTAACATCTCCAAACAACTTTGTTACTGGCGGTAGTCTTACTAGCGAGAGTTGTTCATACGTAGGACTTATTTTGACTTATTATTGCGTTATTCATAAAAATATAGTATAGTTGTATTTAAAAATACATGTGTACTTTTCACAATTTTAGGCAACCATGATGGCTTGCAAAGAACTGGTAAAGAGACTTGAACCTATTAAGAAAGAGTTGGGGAACCCTTCGTGGCAAGAATTAGTATTTAAAGCATATTCAAAAGATGTTGATTTATGTGCCCGATATATGTACGTGTATTTCTAATAATTTGATACCTATAGATATTATATATTTTCTAAATATTTATTTTGTAGGTTTACTGCAAAAGATGATATTAAAGCTTATCCGATTTATGCAGCGGCTATAGCGGAGGTTGAAATTGATTTGTTAACTGGGCAGCATATAATACATAGAGTAGATATAATTGAAGATGTTGGAAGAAGTATGAATCCAGAGATAGACTTAGGACAAATGGAAGGTGCCTTTGTGATGGGTCTGGGTTACTGGACTTCCGAGGATCTGATTTATGATCCCAAAACTGGTCAATTGACGAATGATAGAACTTGGGTGCGTTATTGATTTTATTTAATCTAATATAAATATGGAGTGTTAAGAATTATAGTCGAGTAATTCTATTACTAATTCTCATAAAACACTATGCACTTGTTATTACGAAGAGTTTATTATACTTTTTTTGTCATGAAAACTCGGAAGAAGAAAAGATATAACTTAATTAACTATGAAATAAAAGTGGTAATACTTTTAAAATTTGAGATATTTGATCAAATAAATTCTCTTTAAAAAATCTTGATTTACATCATTTTATGTGTAGGAGGTAACTTTGAAAAATATGTTTGTTTTTACAGAATTATAAACCACCAGGCGCGAAGGATATTCCTGTCGATTTTCGGGTTTATTTCCGGAGAAATGCCCCCAATCCACTAAGCGTTCTTCGCTCAAAAGGTAAAATAATAAATGAAGAAGAATGATTAATAATTTTAAATCCAAAATGTTAATTTATTAAATGTTATAGCTGCCGGTGAACCACCGCAATGTTTGAGTTACGTGATACTTATTGCGATTTGTAATGCGCTTAATTCAGGAAGGAAAGACGCTGGGAACAAAGATTTATGGAACAGACTAGGTAATAAAAAAATTCTCTTGTAATTTGATTAAACTTGAACTGAATTTGATGTGGAGATAGAAAACATAACGTAATAATATAATCTAATTATAATTGTCTTCCTTTATAGATGGCCCTGCTACTACCGAGAAAATATTATTGAACAGTTTAACCAGCAAAGAACAAATGGTATTTTGAAATAAAAATTTATTTTTAAATAAAAGACAATATTGTTATTAAATGCTTATTAAAAACTCAGTTGTATGTCATCATGTGCAATTATTTATAATAAATAAATGTCATCAGTGAAACAATGACATTTTTGCCAAATATTGTAGTTTGTATAAATGATATAAAATTGTTATATTTATATTAATAAATTAATAATATAGTAAAATTTATATTAATATTATATTTATATCATTCATATAATATATATCATATAACATACGATGATAATATGACATGCAATATATAATTTTTAAAATTGATACATTAATTTCAGAAAGTTATTTAAATTCCCGCGTAAAAAAGGGGTGCAAAAAGTTTGCAAGAAATTACCCATAAATCTGTGTAAAATCATACAGTAATGTATCCTGCTCATAAAGAACCTGCAGACAAACGAATAAAAGGAAGCAATTTATGTCGATAGAAATTGTAGAGAGGTCGTTGTATTTATCTAAAAGTATAATTACATTATCAGTAATTCGTTAATAATTATTAAATTGCTCTAATAACAAAACAATATAAAAAAGATTTAAAATTTGTAGGTTTGATACCGCAATGCGCACGGTTCTGTTGCCGAGTGCGCAGTAGCAAATTTTTAAGTTCCTGCGCAGCCGACTGGGCTTCAGTTTGCGCGCGGCAGCCCAGAAGCGAGTGTATCGTGCGTTTCTCCGTTTCCTTTCCTACGACTTTCTACGGTTTTCATGAAATAACCGGGCGTGAAGTGATAATATCTGTTCCTATAGCGTGGAAATACTGCAGAACGTAAGAAATCATCGGCAGAGTGCATGTTGTGGCCATGGAAAGAGTCCTGGAACGTCATCGGTGAGTGACGCTATCTCTAACTACGTAGTTTTTATGTAATTCGAATATCGTATCATTATATTGTTCGATTTAAATATCGTTGAAAGATATAATTTTGGGAGTAATCGAGAATTTTCTTAAAACATGTGTACAGTATATATGTTAATTATAATTTGCATCTTTTTCACTGACATCTTGAATCTTAACCTTACTAGCGTTCATTCAAAATGGTGCATGTTCCGCCATATTATCCCGCGCGGCTTTTTTTGGCGGTTAAAAAAATATCCTGAATTTCAAATTATGTTTTTTCGTGAATGAACTTCTCAAACGGAGAAATCAGAATCTTTCGCGACCCCGATAAAATATTTTATACAGCACATGCGTACGAAATATTAAATATTTGAAATCTTCGAAATATTTTTGTAACCAGAACGTATCGCAAAATTGTCAGTTCAGGATTGATGATTTGTTCAATCTAAATTTTTTCGAATAAAAACACAAAATTTTTACCTTTTACAAATAATCTTTTATTTTTTTATTTTTTAAATTTTACGAAAGATCAATTTGCTTTCAATATTGGATCCTTTTTTTTGATAATAACGTAATTTATGTTTTTTACAATTTTCGTTGGGAACTGCGACATAGTTCGTGATTCATGAAGTCGTAGATGCATATTTATGAATATTGCATTCTTCAGCAACGTTTTAATCTTATCTATGTTAATATAACCGGATGGCGTAATTAGACGTTACATTCAGGAATGCTAATCACATCTTGAATATAATCATTTAAATAATCAGTTGGTTTACGTTCGTATACTTGTACAGTCGTGGGTACGTAAAGATCGTTATTTTGAAATTGCTCTGATGGTAAACAAGCAGGTGGGCTGCTACGGCGGGAAATTTGAATTATCTAAAAACTTAAAAGTGAATGTACAAGAATACGTTATATCGTGATATCGTGATAGTAATATTATTCGTTAGAGTTTCCGCATTTGTTCATTATCTAGTCTTTGGTCTGAAAATTAGCTTCATCAAAGCGATTTTCATGCATATGTATTTCGATCTCATCCTATATGGATTGTCTGACAAACGACAGTATGAACGGACTTAGCGGACTCAATTAGACTTTCAAGAATTTCTTTTATTCCGCGGAATATAGAGTATTTCTTTTTAAATGCCAGCAAATAAAAGTATCACAATCTTTCGACTTGCGCGCAAACGTTTCGAATTAGATAATTGGCAAAAATTAGCGACAGAAGTTAGACAGACAGAGGAATAAATTTGAAAGTAAGAATTTCGAATTGCGCGAAAGAAACGCGCAATTAGAGATAAAGATGGTGAAGTTCTTTATCGACTGGGACATGCGCGGGCACGTCGACGTTCAAATTCCCTCCGCTAGGTGGCGCCACGCAAATCTTACGTAAACAGATAAAAACTCACGTACTTTTACCTTCCGTCAGCGAAATGTGATATCAAGTAGGTTATGTCACGACAAACGAAGAGCTCGTGACTTTTTGATTATCATTGATTAGACCGACAAACACTCAGACACGCGCACACAGAGAAAGAGAGAGAAAGAGATGTCATAGAAACTCTTTAATTACGTTTCACGTATAAAAAAAATTAACATTTTCCCTGTTCAGCGGAAACAAACGTTCGCGGAATTGTTGGTGTCGGTCGTTTGACGTCAGTATTGTTGCTCGTCGTCGTCGTCGGTGACAAAATAAAGTTAATTGTATTAATTCCCCGCAATAAAATTAATCCTGCCGTACATGGCTGCGAAATTAATGGCAGCATAATTTTAATGTACACGTTTGAACGACACGCGTGACGTCAAGGCGACGTTGTTTCGATGAGAACCTATTTGAACTGGAATTACGTGATAGCGTATCGTTAGTAAGAAGAGTGCTTCATATAAACATTTTTCCTTCTTTTTCTTTTTTTTTTTTCTTTTTTTAAGCTCGCCTCTAACGTTAACAATCTCCGGAATATTTCACAGAACAGAGAAATATCATCTGGTTTTTCGCATTTATGTAATGAACATTGATAAAATTCATATCTTGCGTTAGTCGTTTAGAATTTTTCTATGAGGCCTTAAATTTTCTTAATGATAAAACCTAGTAATAAAATTAGAAATTTTGAGAAAGAAAAAAGCTTAAATGTCAAACGTTGACAAAAGGATCGTATACTGATTCATCTACGATCTTTTTCGCGTGTATCAATCATATTGTACATCGAATTTTCGTACGTTTCTCGATTATTGCGGGATCAATTGATGGACGGGGTACGTGTATTTATAATTTATTGGACTAAGGCGCACAATCGAACGGGCCAGTCGCGTTCTACCGTTGGAGCGGTGAACACCGTGAGAGGAAGGGGGGGTTTGATGAATTTTTCTTGGCAGAAAATGTTTTGAGGTTTTGGAAGCATCCTCGGGCATGCGCGGCATGCGTTCTGCAGAGGCGATCAAAGATCATCGGCTCTCAATGCGGTGAATCGGCCGATTTTCTTTGGAGAAAACGGGAAATCCTCTAGGTCGAGAACTTATATTTTTAGGGTGAGACACGTTGAATTATCGCGCGGGTCGCCCATCGGGCACAGGAACAACTATACACCCCCTTCCAAAAGTGAAATTGAAAATTACAAGTTCTTTTTTTTTAATTTGCACAAGTTACGGGAGCAATTGTTGAAAAAAAAAGAAGTAGAAAAAGAACGAAGAATGCAGTTGGAAATATTTGAAAAGTGCTGGTTCGCGTGGAGCTCGCGTACGCGTAGGACGGGTCAGGGACTCAGGGAAACGTAATTGCGCGATCTCTGCGGTATTTTCTCGGCCGACGTTAAAATTCTGCGAATCTGCTCGCTCTAGAAGCATCATCGAGAGTTATTAAGAAATATCATCGAGGTGGATCGTACGAGATAACCATCTCCCCTCTCAGTCCGGAAGGTTTCAAGTTTTTCAACGTTCCTTCGAGTATGCGCGCTCCTCGATCGTTCCGCAAAATGACGAAGGGGTTAGGGGGTGGAGGGAAGTGAAGCATAACCGGTCACAGTGCGCACACACGCACGAGTGTGTACACAACGAAAATCTCTTTACGCGTCTGTGTGTACAATAATCATCGTTCTGAAATAAAACCTCGTTAAATAATTTTCCCAGAAGAAAAAAGAAAAAAAAGCACACGTTTCATATATATATGTTATTCGAGTAATAAAATTTTCCAAATGAAAATGATAAAAAGGGAAGGTGGGAAGTAAAAAGAAAAAAAGAAAAAAAGAAAAAAAGAAGAAGAAAGGAATGAAAATGGTACAAAGAGAAAGAAACGAAAGGAAAGAGATGGAAAACGGGGGTAGTGTGTTAGAGGGTTGGGCGGTCGGGGCGTGCAGCTGCGCATGCGCGTGAACTCGGAACGTTTCGGACGGCAAAGACAGGACAGTCGAACGAAGACCGCAGTACCGCGCAGATCGGTTGCCCAGTGGCTTTACACCGAATTTGTGCGCACGAAGGATTTTCTCAGCCTCTCTCTGCCTCTCTCGCGTGCACTCTGTCCGTGTCTTTTCGTCTTTCTTCTCCTTCCTCCGTATTTCTCTTTCTCTCTTGTTCTTTCTCTTGCGAGAACACCGACACGTGAAAACAGCTAATTGGAACATATGTACGTACACTTTCGCAAAAAAAGAAAAATATATACATATATTTTACGTTTGATAACTTGAAACCAAAAGAGAAAAGAAACTTTGCACGCGCGTATATAGACACAAAAAAAAGAAAGAAAAAAAAAGAAATCAGACATACGTATACAGAGGTGGAGACAAATTTGACGCACGCGTTTGGTACAGAAATTCGAATAAAATCGAGTACAACGATGATGGAACAGCGTACATAGGGAGAGGACGATAGAGAAAGAGGAATCGTGTAACGTCTCCGATAAAACCGGCCTTGCGGGAACGAACGGACACACGAGGCCAGCGATATACTCGCAAAACGGAAGACACGCTCGCGTGCGCGCGCACGCAAACGAGGCTCGTCCATGCGCGGACGTCGTGTGGCTCGCTGCCCGCTGATAACACACGATACGTTTGACCCGGCCAGCTTCTATGAAAAACGACACAAAAGGAAAAACATCGACCTGCGTCTCGGTGGATATCCGTAATTCGCACCGGTATCGAACTACTTCAATAGTGTTGACCAGAACTCTCTAAGAACTAAGAGAAACTCGTCTTTTAGTTTCTTCCATTTTCTTTCCTTCTTTCTCTCTTTCTCTCTCTCCCTGTTTTTTTTCTTCCTCTTTTGTTCCGTGGCTGACGAAGCAGAAGGGAAAGGCATTAGTAACGATAACGTACACGAGTGAAGGGAAAGTATCGTAGAGTCAGTGTCGCGAAGAAAAAGGGGACAAAGAAAGAAACCACGAAACACCCCCCTTTTTTTCACTAGAATGCGAAAAAGAAAAAATCGCATATCGGCCGCATCGTAGATAAACCGAATGTGCCTGGGGTTATAGGTGTTCTCCGTTGTTACAGTGGAGATGCACGACCAGAGGAGACCAGAGGAGGAATAGGAGGAGGGATGCCCGGGGGGGTGGTGGCGGCGGAGGGAGAAGTGATTTTCCAACGGTCGTCGGCATAGTAGTGCATGCGCGGCGCGTCGCGACGCGGCGCCTCGCGGTGAAAGAGTAAGAAGTAGCGATTTCGTCCTCTCCTCGGTTTCTTCCCGTGCGTGTTTCTCCTCGTAGACGTCGGGCTCTCTTGTGCTACATTCTTACGCGTTCCCTCCTTCTTGCCTTGATAACCGTCCTGTGGTCGACGGACCACCGTCCTTTCTTCCTCCTTTTCCTCCTCCTCCTTCTCCTCTTCCTCTTCTTCTTTTCGTTCTTTTCCGTTCCGCGTTATCGTTTCCTCTCGTCGAAACTCTCTCTTTTCCCCCCCTCCCTCTCCCGCTCCTCGTTGATAATTCCCCTTTTTTCTTCCCTGTTCGTCACGAGACACGACGTATACACACATACGTACATATTGTACGTATATACATGCGTGTGTATAGTCTAGTCTCCTAAAAACCACCACCTCCCCACGCCACCGTTCTCTCTGGTTCTCTCCTCTCCTCTCTCCGGTGTGTTAGAGTGTGTTGAGAGATTTCCGCCGGTGTGTCGACTGGATTCACTTGGTACGCGTTTCCTCGCGCCTCGAGTCAGAGAGACGGGAAGCTTTCCGGGGGCTGCGTGTGTATTTTCGTGCGTCGCGCGGGGTCTCGTGCTTCGTTAGGTCGCGCCGCGCGAAACCTAACGTTTCTTGGGAGGCTGCTGTTTCTTCTCGCTTCTCTGTGTCCGTTTTCTCCCCCTCTGAGTCTCCCGTTTAAACTCTCTTTCTCTTTCTCTCTCTCTCTCTCTCTCTCTCGTTTGTGTTTCCCTTCTTTCTTCGTTTTCTCCTTTCTTCTCTGCTTCTTGTTTCCCTTTTCTGTTCCAAATCCACGATCTTTGCCCGTCGAAAAAAAGAGAGAGAGAAAAAAAGGAAAGAGAGAAAGAAAGGACCGCGTGTGTGTAACGCGTACATGCGGGAGAAGGAGACACGAGGATCGTCTTTTTTCTTTTCTTTTTCTTTTTTTTTCTTGGTTCCTTTTGGCAGTCTTTCGTCGTCGTCGTCCTCGGTGTGCAGCAGCGGCGACAAGCGGCGGCAGCCAGCAACACACGGCGACGAGCGGGCGTCCGTGACACGATCCAGGGGAATCGAGCGATCCGTTTGTTCGTGGTTGCAAGTATAACGAGTGCTTCGAAACGCGCGAATAAATGTGTCGGTCACGGTACAAGACGTGAAGCGGGGGAAATACACGGCAAGTGAGTATATTTTTAGTAGCAAGCGCCAAGCGCTAAAGGCAGAAGTGGTATAAACGGCGCGCAGTGGCCTGATGAAGCGGCGTATGTGACATCAAATTTCTCTCTCTTGCCACCTCGACGAGACACCCGAGACATCTTGCAGACCATCAGCGCGCGGTGAGTATTGCCCCGAACCGATTGATTCGCCATTCCGCAAACAGTCACCGCCGCCGCCGCCGCCGCCGCCGCCACTACCACCCCCAGCACCCCTCCGCCCATCGATGCCCACCCAATCCACCATCTCCTCCGCAGGCTAGTCCATCTCTCTCTCTCTCTCTCTCTCTCTCTCTCTCTCTCTCTCTCTCTTCACCCCTCCAATCCTCCAATTCGTGCTCGTGTGCCTTCTGCTTCTTACACTTTTACACGCATGTACCATGGATACACGTGTAGCACACGAAAGCTCTGAAATTCCATATTTTCGTCCCTCTTCCGGATACTTTTATATTCTCGAATTTTATTTTTCCCCTTACATATGCATATAGCAGTCTAGAAAATTCTGTCCGTTTCTCTGTCAGTGTCCCGTTCCTTTGCCCGAGCCTTGCTCGAAAGGTTAGGTGGTCGTCGAGCAGCCCCGCTGCACGCGAGGAAAGGGTACATACGCGTCCGCCGTCTGGACCGGGGAATCGCCGAGGCACGCATAGAGAGTGACATCGGCACCGAATTATGTAACCGGTTCGTTTTCGTTTGTCCATCCATTCGTTTGCTCCGCGTCCATCCATTCGCTCGATCCCATCCTTCGGTTTCCTTCCTTCTTCTCCTTCTTCCTCAACCTCCTATCTATACTACCCTCCGCGGTTGTGCTGCGCGGCACTCGCGCGCCACACAACCTCCCCCTCCCCCCTCACTCGCCTGCGCCGCTCCTCTCGCCGCCCCTCCCATTTTGCACCGGTCGCGGTTAAACATTATTTCGGGAGTGCCAGCCAGCCTGCCAGAGCCCGCGTGCGATCGACAGAGACGGCTAGAGGAGAGACTCGCCGTCCTTCTAAACGGCGGCTCTCTTCTCTCTTTTCCTACACCACCTCGTGTGTCCCGGGATCGGGCAGGCGCATTATCACTCGCAGCACAAGCTTGCTTTTCGCTCGCGCCTGCATTCCTTCCTGCCGCGTTGCTGCCTCCTCGTTTCCCTTTTCTTCTCCGCCGACTTTACACCCTTTTGCGTGTACGAGGCGAAGGCAGACGTAATAACGTGAATGACGCAATAACAACAGCACTGTTACAACCGAAGCCTTGAAATTCGAAGTCCGCCCTCCCCTCCTGCCTCCTCCCTCGTGTTGTTCGAGCGAATGTTCTCTGTCGTATAGATACCCGTTATCGTTCGATCGCGTCGATTTTCAGTGGATTATTCTGCATCTCGTAGTTGTTTTCGACTTGAGGTTATGTACCGTGCGAGTGATGTTTGGTCGGATTCCGCGGCGTGGTTACGTAAGGGTGGGAAAAATTGTTACACGCCTGGGGATATATATATATATATCTGTCTCTATCTCTATCTCTCTCTTTTTCTCTGTCTCTGTCTGTGCCCGGTCAGTTCGAGGTAAACGGAATCGAAGCGGGCTCGAATTACACGCTGGGTGTACCCCGGTGAGGTAATCCCCGCGTCTGTGCACTAGTAGACACACGGTAGAGTAGCTTGTCGTTTTTTCGTTGTTACGACGTTTCCACCCGTGCCGCGCAAACGCCTGGGAAATATTTATTTTCTCAGAACACGATCTCGAGTTACACAAACTTCGGCACGAATGTAAGCACGAATTATTGAGAGAGACCGCTGTACACACACGCGCCTAATGGTGTGTGTATGTGCGTGTATAGCTAGTTCGGCGGATCGTTATGTGTGTGTGTGTAGTATGCTGCACACGACGACGTTCGATGGTGTGTAGACCACCGTGAGTGAATCACGGTACGAGGATTGATAACAAATTTTACAACGGTGGAGAGAATGAGGGTCTGGTCTGGTCTGGTCTGGTCTGGTCTGGTCTACTTTGCTCTGCCTGCTTTGCTCTGGCAGTGGAAAGGGTCGCGATTAGTCAGACCCGGAGTAGTCTCTCCGTCCCTTTAACTCGGCCATTCTCGTCGAAATAATCGTGCATAAAATTCCTCGATCCCCCCCTCCTCTCCCCACCACTATTCGCGTCGGCCCTTGGCTACCCCTACCACGTTGCCACGGGCGCACGCCTTTGCTCTCCCCGATTCGCTTTGTCCTGAAATACATCGAAGACTCGTTCTCTCTCTCTCTTTCTCTCTCTCTCTCTCTCTCTCTCTCTCTCTCCCTCTCCCCTGATCTATTCCCCTCCTCACTCCCTTCTCTCTCTCTCTGTCAGTCTGTCTGTCTCTCTGTCTCTGTCTTTCTCTCTCTCTCTCTCTCTCTCTCTAGCGTGCCAGCTTTCTGTCCTCGTTTTGTCCTGCTTTCATAGTATCGACCCAATACGGCTGACCTAGACTCACTTGCAAGGAAGTGTACTCAACCTTTGACACTTACTCGCGGCGCTGACGAAACCGGCTCTGCGATCGATAGCCCGTCAAAACTAATTACGCACGTGGGGAAAACGGTCGTGTTCGACGTGGCCAGCCTTTATCGCGCCCCGTTATTTCGTTTCGTAACCCCGTTTCTAGCAAACGTTCTTCTAGCACTTTTCCACCGTCTCTGTTTACCTTCAGCTGCGTGCGAAGGAATCGCGTGTCACCTTTGATCGTCAGCTTCGAAACGAATGGGAAATGGGGGGAGGGGAACTCTATGTGACGAGGGGGTGAAGAGGAGAGGAGAGGATCGGTAGGTGAGGTTAGAGATCGAGTACACTTTGAGCAAAAGGAGACGACAAAGGCTCGGTTCTTTCGGAAAGCAATTTCGTGCAAATCCTCCAGACGGAGGGGCAGGAGCTCCCCCTGAGTCTTTTGAGATAACCGCAGTTGAGGGATACTCCGGAAATATAAATACCTTGGATCGATGTCACACGTTTGTTGTATTGTCAAGACGAATGTGAGATCGAAGATTTTTATTACCCCGAGGACGTTGAATTTTTGTCGATATACTCGAATAATTCCCTTCGTCGTAGTGAGAGCTTTTCGTACTTTCGATCGACACCAGAACTACCAAGATGACCGATTTATTTTATGAATTTTCACCAGAAATTCTATAAATGCGAAACGGTGTACTCGCTGCGATTTAAGTGGCCAATTTATCATTTTTATCAGAAATTCTATGGACCTAAAACGGTATATATTTTTTGAGAAATGACTGACCAATTTACAATTTTTACTTCGACATTTGAAACGATCTTTCGCCAACGTGTGACTCTGTCTTATTATAAAGTTTTGTTATTTTTTTTTTTTTTTTTCATTTCAACGTCTCTGACGCGGAAATTATTTGCTCTCGGTTATCATCGGTTATAGTTCCGATGTTCAACGCGCGTTATTTTTACCAACGATGCCCGGCGGTGTGCGGGTTTATTTGACACGTGCTGGAAATATTAGCAGAGCGTTGAATGGAACCACGTATTCGTACGGACCACGGCCGGAGACACGTTGAGTTATGTGGGTTATCATCGGCGCTTCTCGAGTTGTTTACGGCGAGCCTACGCGTGGGCAAATATTTATAGAATAAATAAGAATAAAGAAGGCCGGTTTTTAGGAGTTGCTCCATAGTACGTTACCGTTTCGTATGCCTTTGCGACGAAAGGTTAAGCCGTAGCCATGAGTATATCGACCTATCGACCTATATTACACACCGAGGATATTGTGTGTGTATATATATATATATATATATATATGTATATATATATATATGTGTGTGTGTGTGTGTATGTATGTGTGTGGAAAGAATTACGCGGCAGTGTGCATCGAATGTGATTCTTGATAGGGGACCGAGAGGGAGGTAACGTACAGGGTGTTGAAACTAATCCTAACCTGCTTTCGTTCGAGAGGGTCTATCTCGCCGTTTTATTTTCGCTGCATTGAGACTCGGTGAAGGAAGAATGATTAAACGGATTGAAATTCCCTGGTTGAAAGAGTGGTTATGAAAATGACGCCAGGACGTCTTTGACGAGGAGACATCGGCTACATCAGAGAACGATGACTAAGAGGGGAAATATTTACCCACTTCGTTCCTCCGAGTCGCTTTCAGCCGTTCCGCGAATTAATTTTCCCTCCTAGCCTCAGAAGCGATAAAAAGTGTCTCCCCGAAAGTGGTGGAAAGCCCGTGTTATCCCTTTCAACGTTGGCTTCCTCTTGTGTCGATCAGTGATTTCATTGCTGAGGGGCTCGAACGATTTCCTCCTCCCCTCTCGTGGGGAAACTCGCTGTCGATTCTGCGTTCTGTTAACTTTCTTACCTTTACGGCTCGATCAGTAGCCCAATTCGATTCCGACGGACATATAGGTCATCGAAACGAACGCGTCTCGAAGGACACACGAAATATATATATCGAAATCTCGGGCGCGACTTTCCCCGATGCCTCGTTGCATGTCGAAAAAATTGAACTTTCGCGTGTACGTACATTATTTTGTACGTATATAAATATCGTTATGTTAATTATTTTACATGTACAGGGTGGGCCAAAAGTTTGTTGCTTGTTTCTCTTAATAGAATATCAAAGTACAGGAATTTTATCGACTTTAAATTAAATTTAAGTTCAAACACGATATCTTTTCGTTATGTTTTAAAAATTGTTAAAGAAAATTTTTTTTTAAATTACGCACAATTAAAAAAATTGCGGATTTATTTTCATAGGAAGTTGATTTTTAGCGTTCAGGATTGTCGATAATTGTATCGAAATTGACCACTATCGCTCTACACTCTGATTTTTACACATGCTAAAAAAGATGTATAATTATTTTGCACGTACAAAGTAGACACATTCGCAAAGAAAAATGAAAAATGTGTACTGGATGATTCACGTAACCTGCACGCTTGAAATAACTTTTGAATTACGCGTCCAATGAAAAATTGTTCGATACAAAAGTTGTGTGGTTTTACGGGAGGCAAAATATGGCGTGTCAGTTATTTGTGTGTGTTCGAAATTTCCAAAATCATCTTAATTTTTTTTTAATTGGATCATGTATTTTTTTTCGTCATAAAACGAAAGAATGCTAAATTCCTTATTAAAGTAAGAAAATATTAAGCCACATTGGTTCTGAACTTAATGGTTAAAACTACAACTCTTGTATTAAACAATTCTTCATTAGACGCATAATTTAGAAGTTACATCAGGTGTGTGAATCATCCTGTATAATAATACTGTTATATATATATACTGGTATATAAACATAAACAAATACATTTTCTCCGACAATGAATTGTAAATTAAGGTCCCTAAAATCGTAAGGTCCTCGAGGGCAGCCATCTTGCTCTTCCTCCCCTGATGAATTCTTAACCTCCATCAAGGTTTACCATTTTTTCCTTTTTTTTTTTTTTATATCAAGAAATATCGTTCCGTGATAAATTATTCCACGGACCATGGATTATCGTGTTCCAGGAATTCATTGATTTCGGAGAAAAATTCGAACATA